AAAACAAAAAGAAACGAAAAGAAAGAAAGACACTGTGCACGAACGACTATCAGGTCTGTTTTGTAAGAGTTTTCAAAAGTAATCGCTCATTGGCAAAGAGGCTGCGACCAGCCTTTCGTTCGTGATATTTGTTTCGTCAGAGTGAGAACGAGTGATACGAGACGAGGGCAAACGTTGATACTGTTTCGAGGTGGCTGATCGAGATCTCAAAGAACGAGGTGCAGGCGTTCATGTGCGACCTTCGTCACGACTAATTCGGTAGCTACGGTCTTCGGTCGATATTCCGTTAACAACCAGCCTCGTCGTTCAACACGACGTCGTGCAACGCAGTGAAACAATTCGATACCCGCGCGCTCGCGTTTCCTGTTCCCTCACATTTCGCCTCGTCCTGATCGTCCACTCTCTTCGATCGGTTTCCTTCATCGGACTAATGTCCTACGGAGCGAACCACCGGTTATCCTCACTCGAACGTGTGTATCACGTAATTCCGATTGTCTTTCGAATGACGCGATATGTCACGACAGACGACGATCTCAGTCCCTGTTGCCAGATCCGACGAAGAAAGTTCAGTCATCGACTAGACGACTTTTCCCAATGTTCAAGTATTCGCACGAGACATCACCGTCGTGAAGGACCGTCGCACGCTCGAACGGTGTTATTCTCTCGATCATTGTCCGAGATTCTCTCGGGTCTCGATCAAGGTGCCACAGCAGCCACGATGCTACCGACCATAATGCCAATTTCGAATGACAAACACGAATGATCAGATCGATTTATCGTCTCAAGCTATATGCTCGAGGATGGTTTTTGACTCGCACGACTCGTGCACGAAGAACGAGTCAAGGGGCCGCCAACGGTGAAGTTGAATCCACTTGGCCTCGTGGGCTTTACGTCATTGTCGTCTCCGTCATCCTGGCTCGTCGTTGGTACGTGACCGTTCGTCCCTTCGATTCTGACAGGAACACAACACGGTATCGCGGAAACAACACTCGCAAGGAAACCCGCGTCGCGGCTGTCACGCGTGGATCGCGTCACGAACGGGATCACCGTCGATCCTTGGTGGAAAAAGCTCTTGCCGATGTCGTTTTCGAGCCGAACGTCTCGTTTTGGCTATGCACTTCACGGGGAACCAGTGGGCTCGAGCTTAAAGCGACCGTCAGCAGATGGCAGCCAGTGTTGAGCAGCAGCCACCGTTTACTACCACCCCGCCCGGATAACACTGATTCATATACCCGTTTCCCTCGTAGCTGATCGTCCCTCTTGTCAACATTCCCCGGAACAACTGTTTCGGCCACTGTTCTCTTCCAATCTGCCGACCTCTCGCACTATCTTTCGCCCGTCTTTCGCCAGATTTCTATGGGGTCACATCGCTGATAGAAATTACCCGAAATATATCGAAATGTTCTATCCCCCCGAGGCCTGTGTAAGAGGGAGAGTTTCATTGGTTCAACGCGATTCAGGGATGAGACGCGCACGCGCTACTACTGCGCCGCGCTCTGGCTAGTATTCGTTCGATCCGTTACCAGCCTGTATTCCTTCCCTCCGATAGACTGTTCCGTCTTCGAGGCGATAAAGCCACGCTCGTATCTCGCACTCTTTCTTCCCATTTTCACAGACGATCCGTCAATTTTGAGAAATTTCGTTCCACATGTTCCTCGTTCTCCGTGTGGCAAGATCTTTTTTTTTTTTTCGTAATTTTACACGAGCGTGACGCAGAGACGGAGAAGAACGGGTTGTCGGTCGACACGAACGATCGTGTCCCTTTAAGGTAAAGTTGCTCCTACGATAATATATCTGTTCTGGCACTGTTTTTTCGTTTCGCTCGGATTGGGTCGATGTTTTGGTGTCGGTGTTACAGGTTGCTCCGTTCGCACGTTTCATCGAACGGGTAGAAAAGTGACACGACGATACAGAGAGCTCGTCTCAAGTCCTGACCAAAAAATTTTTTCCCCGAGACTGACTGTAGAGAATCTTCCATTAAATTTACTTACTTCGAGTTTTAAAGTTTCCTACGATCCTGATGGAAAATTCATTTAAAAAATCCAACTGGAACATCGATCAAAGTCGTTTCTCAATTGGCATCGACAGTTCGACTGAAATTGAACTCTTAAAAACTCTGAAAACATTGTGACTCGTTTCGTCGTTTACGACGAAATTGCGTGAGGGCGGTTCCTTCCGGCGTCAGCGATTATCCTCAAAAAAGGGAAGCGATCGATCGCGACTGAAACGTTCTCGTCGACAACGACGGTTGGTTTGTTATTGTCATCGTCGGTTACAATTATTTGCACGTAACGTGCGTGCAACGACGCTCATATTCCGCGTTTCGTCGTTTCTCCATCGTGCCATTGAATTTATCGCTACCGTTATACACCTTTCGACTGGATCCCCGCCTCTGGACGTGTCCGTTTGAGTTAAAGCGCCGCTCCGAAGACCGAGCGCGCAACCGAAGACTACACGCCGAACACTCTCCTCTCGCTCTTCTCTCTCCTCGGGCTCGACACGAGCCGCTGCATTTTCAGAACGGTACTCCTAACTGTATCTTACATACGTATACACGTACATGTGTATACACGTCTGTTTCTGCTCACCTGTCGGCATCGCGACCAGGCACCCGCGCATACCGATCGCGGAACAAGGGAAAACGACCGCGTCGATGACCCTACACGCGATGACGAATTCTCCGTGTGGAGGTTCGCCATTGGTTCCCATGGAATTCGAGGATATCGTGCGAATCATTCATTCACACGTCTCCGCGTCCCATTATCCTACAGACAGTACTCGAACGTGATTCTTGACACCCGAATTACCGACGGAGGTGTGAATTTTATTTATCGCAGAAAAAGAAAAGATTTTATTTAATTTCTCCGAAACTTGACAAATTTCGTAACGTTTCTCGTAAATTGTCCGCTCTGAGCGAGTGTTATTTCCTTTGATAAGATAATATTATTATTTTCACTGCGTGCGATACTTCTAGGTTCGTTTACCAAAGAACTTTGACATCTCGACGGAATGATGAATCGCGCTCTCTAGTCTCTAGCGTTGAAACGCGATCCTCGAACAAAATTCGATACTGCTTTCAACGACCATACGATCTAATACGAATCAAAAACTTCGACATTTACAAGGCACAATGAACTCTAATTCCCTGACGTTCTGCCTCCCTATGTTCGTTATTTACGCAGTTTACGTTGTGTACGTTCCAGTCGAAGTGAATTGAATTTTCCCGAGGTCTGGCTCGGAAAATCTAAATTGTAGCTAGACGATAAATATACGGTCGGATCCTTTTGGGAATCCTTTGTCCGACCAAGATTCTCTCATTACGTTCGCCCCGGTATTAATTTATTCGCAGACGAGGGCCAATCAACGAAGGATACGCGACGACGAGTCCAGCTCGTAGAGCAAAGGTAGAGAACGTTGCATACGATCAAGGAACAATCGGGCATGCATTGGAATAACGATCGAAGATCAAGGGAGAACGGTTTGAACCGTTAATCGTTTTTAGAATCCAGCTTCAATGAGCTGCACGAAGCGAAACACGGATCAAAGAGAAACGTGGAAGAAGTGAAGAGAAGGCAAAAAAAGAAGAAAGAAGGTGGAGAGAGAGAGAGAGAGAGAGAGAGAGAGAGAGAATGAACGATGAAAGAGGGGAGAAGTCAAACAACGTGTAGCGGATCTTCTACGCAGGTATACACGTAAGTAAGTACGTATGTACGTACGTACGTGCGGATCGCGTGTAGGGATACTCACGTAATGTAGGCCCGTTCCAGGAGATACCGTAAGACCTTGCTGCGTTACGTCACTAGAAGCCGCGTGATTAGGAGAAAAAGGACACCAGCGAGCAGGGAGAGAAGAAAACGGAAACACTGGCCTCCGGGCTGCGCGCGCCGACGAGTGCTCCATTCTTGGAAATTTGTCAGTGCAATGTTTCTTTAACCTACCAAATCTCTCTCTTTTTTCTTTTTCTTTTTCTACTTCTTAACCTGTTAACCGTGATACCAGTTACCTGGTGTTTCTTTGATTCATACCCTATTCAAAGATCAAATATTAACTTCGAAAATATTTATTTCGAAGCGAAATAGTAAGATAACATTGAACCGACCCTTTTAACTCGACTTTAAAACAAACGCAGATTTTCGAGATTTAACAAGCTTTTCAAGTAACGACTCGAAAAATACTGCCGAGCCGGATTGCTCTAACGGTTGTAAAATGGTCGCAATTAACGGAATTACGAGAGGACAGCGGTTTGCAGGCGCGGTTTAGAAACATAGTCGAAAGTGATTATCCAGCTGTTCACACATGCTGAAACGCATTTCTAAAATAAGAGACGCGTTGTGTGAAGTTGTAATTACGTGTATGACCTGTTACCAGTTTCAGACGTGCGAAGTGGGCTAAACGATCTCTACGAGTCGAAGTCTATGGCCAGAGCAAATCTAAGCGCGCTGAACGAGACAATGTGTCACTTGTACTTACGACTTTAATTTTGTTCCCTCTCACCCTTTGCAATTCTCTGCTACTTTACCACGCGTCTACTTTATTATTTCGTTGTTTATCGATGTAAATGGAAGAACACTTTTACGACGAGGC